TGATGGCTACAGCAGCTCAGCTATCTAGCCTATGCTTTGATAGAAGTAAATTCAGATCTCCATTTTTGCCAAATCCAACACCTTACTCTCTCTCTCTCTGGCTACTCCATTTTGGTCATCCATTGGTAGAGACTGTGTGGGCTGGCATGTGGATTGCTCCATATACTTTCTTTGCACATTATCTTCATCTACCGGCCATCTTTTCTTTTTTTGGATATTATTTACCTCTTGTCCCATTCTTCATACCATGTACCAGCTCTGAATGGGTAAGTTATTTTTTCTATTTATACCTTAGCTTTACAGAGGTCCATTTCTACATCTCAGGATTTTACTGAGTGGCAGGCAGTGCCTGCCAGGATATACTAAACGTTAAGTCTGCACCAAGAGACCATTAGGGTCTGTAACACTCGCTAAAGAGATGGGGTGTTCTACAAGAACACTCAGTGTTTTCTCACAGTGTATTGCTTCATAAATATAGTCCATTACAGACTGTACCAACTGTAAAGCAGAATTGGGATTGCTGTCAATCCCAGGCCTTGAACAGGTTTGCTTTTTAAAATAGGGTTTTCATGGTCACCCATTGCACAGTCTTGTGATTTTCCATTCCTTTGGATTTCCCACTGTGCTCCCCCCCCCATTCTAGTGGATTATAGGAGTCCTTGCTACTTTCCAGCTCCTAGCTGCTATGGTGGTGGACCATGGAGGCTTTCTGCTGGGTGTGACAGATTCCACTCAGTAGAGAGTAGGGTGGTAGAGTTCCATTGGTGTAGGTTGTGTGTAACCTCCTCCTACCATGGAATGGATGGAAAAATTCCTAACTTTGCCTGATTTTGGAACAGACAGATCTGCTATGTGCAGTTCACCTCCTCTGACTGGCTTTCCCCAATCCTATTGCCACCTGGATGTTGGTTTCTGGGCAGTGTGGTGTTGGATCAGTGCAGGGCCAGCCAACATAAAACATCACACATGTGGTTGATAGGGGCCCCTTCTCCTACTATGGACTGTATGAAAAATTCCTGATGCTGCCTGATTTTCCACTGGAGTTTACCCAGTTAATGAAATTTGCTTTTCCTTTCTGCTTCTTGGTATAGAGGTGAAGATGGTTGGGACCCTCCTCTTGTACAGACTGACCAAAAAATTCTGATACTGCCTAGTTTCGGATTGGAGTTGACTCACCATGTGTGGTCCGTCATACCCTAGCCACTCTACATGAAGCATCTCCATTTTACCTACAGGACTTGCTTCTTTCCAGCTCGACCTGGTGACATGTATCTTTACAGTATATCCTGGTACAGAAGGGATGAAGTTATCTACCAGTGTGCCCTTATATTTTCAAGGTATAAGGTGTCATGCACCATGGGTTTTCTTTGAGCACTTTCTGAAGGGGGGGCTCATCTAGGTAACTTATGAACTGGTCCCTCCACCATTTGAAGGTGGGATTATAGCTCTTATGTGAGTGGAGTTATGGTATGGTATTGGAATGTAAATTTTCCAGCACTGAAAATTTAGTACCGATACCTACTTATCTCCTTTCACACTTCTCACCCATTCTCCCTACTTCTGGTTTATCTTTTTTGCCCAATGTCAAAGTGATGATTTTACACTTCAGTATGGAGGGAGGTAGATGTGTTAAGAGGATGTGTCACACTCCTATTAGTGGAGAGTTGGAAATATGTGAATTTAGGTGAGAGCCTCAAGGCTAGTGGCGAGAGAAAAATTGTGAATATAGAGAGCAGCACAAATTGAGGAAATCCATTATGTGAGCCAAACTAAGTATCTGTCAGAAATACATTTTCAGTGTTTTAAAATGTTAATTTTAATCAACATATGTATAAATAAACACACCATCCACTATTCTATTATGACATAATATATTAAAGAAACATTAAATGTAATTAATCTATCCACAAACATACAATTATCTAATTCATCTCATAGTCATGGGTAATAACCTATGTGACCACCTATATCTAGTTATTCATTAGGTGTATTTTTTTAATTACTAATTAATTTATATCCTATGTTTTGGCTACTAACATGCTGATATCTTTGGGGAACTTCTGAAAAAGATTGTATGTGGTGGTAGGAGTTAGAATTCAATCCTGGGTCTTCTTGTTATAAAGGCTGGTGTGTTATTACTTGTCCAAGTCTCTCCCATATGGATTTAATCAACTATTTCAATAGTTTCAAGATAAATATCCAAATTTTCTTTATTTCTGTGTTAGGTTGAGTGTGTTATTAGCTACAGGAGGTTTTTTTTTATTGTATTCTGTGATTGGTATCCCATAATTTCATCATATAGCCTTCTTCTGTAACATTATGGTTATTGCAGGCAGATTGGTAATACAGAGTCTTGTACATTTATTATACTCCTGAATTCTGACACTTGTTGGAGGCCACATTCACAAGGACTGCCATAATTGACATTTTTACCTCTATTGGGTTTTGAGGTTATTTGATTTCTGCTAATTACATTCATATTGTATTTTGGCTTCTAAATGCCATTCTAACTTAATGCTGTATAAAATCATAAATAATATTCAACATTAAACTGGTACCCAATTAAAAACATTTTATTTAGGCCATAGTAGGAGTTGTCAAACTTTAGTAACCCAAGCACCCCTTATAATTTAAAATTTTCTCATGGATCACCAAACCTATCCATGTTTTTGTTTTGAAAAAAAAATTCATGTACATGAAAAGCTGTATTCCAGAGTTAAATATTTCAATTTATATAAATTTAATTTTGCAAAAAATATTTTTTATTCTGTATATTTTTTTAATATTTTGAAAATTTGTACATGACTTGCAGACCACAGTTTGAGAAATGCTGATCTAGTTCATAGGTTGCACAACTTCCCTGAGTAGACTAATGTAACACTGAGGGGGAGTCATAATCACATGATGTGTCAGATCATTTACTTCTATCCAGTTCTTGAAATTATTTTATTTTGAAGATGCACTCAAAAGCAGAGGCACCAAATGTCTCAAGTGTAATAATAATGACTGAATGTAGAATTATAATTCTGACATTTGCTGGAGTCCACATTCACAAGGAATGCTGTAAATAGTTCTTGAAATTATCGTATTGTGAAAACATGCATAAAAGCAGAGGCACCAAAATGGTCAAATCTAATAATAATGACTAAATGTAAGTTTTTAATCATGCAAGTTGTGAGCGAACTAGAAATTAGTTTAGGTTTGATTTGGTTTAATTGTAATTTTACTGTAGTGATTTTAAATTAATATTCTTGGAAAATAACCCAGCAACATTATGTCTTTATTATGTTCTTTCTATATAATATTAACATATATCTTCATACCTCAAGAAGCACAGTAGTGTGTATGATAAAATAAAATTAACATTTTTATATCATTTTTACATCAAAGACTTCCTCACATCTCTTATACCCTTTTAAGGTCTAAAGTTGCCAAAGACTATGAAAGTTAAATTAACATCTGCAGGATATTAGTACATTCTACAAATATTTCTTCAGTTCATATTAATACATTATCTCCCACCTATAGCTCTAAGTGGTAATAAATGTCTTGGATCATTATGTTAATCACACATTAAAGAAAAAATTAACTTTATAAACTAAAAAACTCTTATATTCAAAATTAGTATTAGTTTAGTTATTTATCAGTGGAATTTATTTAAAATACCAAAAACTTCTAAGGGTTGAGTAAGTTGTATTAAAATGATTTGGAATATGCAAACTATCAAGGCACATGACAACCCTAGCCAATATAAAAGCATGGTGGAATGTCATATCAGAATTACAGTTTGACATTATTTGACATTTCATATATAGTGTGATGCCACCAAAAAATTGATGAAAGGCACGTAACAGCCCATTCTGATGCAAAATGTGTGTACACTTATATCATAGAGATCTGTTAAAATTAGGAATTTAATTTTTTCAAAATGGGGTTATATCCTTTATCTTTAATGGAAATGGAAAACAAAGGAATATGGTTGAACATGGGGCACCAGGACCATCTAAAAAGAGACCTAAAACAAGTTGTACTCCAGCCATGGTACGCAAAATAAAGTGTAGCATTTTGTAACAGTTGAGAGGTCAGTGCTAAAGCCTTTCCTGTGTCCCAGGCAATGGTACACAACATAATCAAGAAGGATCTCAATCTATAAACAAGACCAGTAGGGTATGGGTTTACCAAGATAAGGCTTCTATTCATACTTCCCATTCAACTGTCACATACCTAAAGCAGCTGGAGAATGAAATGAATATTCATGCTATTCCATATGAAGACATAAAGGTCAAGTTGCCGGATGCAGCACTGATGTATTTATTTGTGATTGGATTCTTCTGTTGAAACTGTTGTTGGGAACTACTATGTTACTAGATGGATTATAAAAAGTAAGCAAGGATAAATGGTGTGCTTTGAAGATTAGAAGCTTGCAATGGAGTTTAATGCTGTGGTGATGTTCCAAACTCCTTTTAATATAACATACTTAACCTCAGATGTTAGGCACTACAGTCTGTGAAGAGCTAGTTACTTCTAGTTTTTAGTTGTCTATTACACATGTTCATTAGACAAGAATTATTATAATTCATAAGATGAAATGCATCACTCAGAAAATCATATGTGGGAAATATTTCCAAGTTAATGTAGAAATTTTTTACCAATGAAATGTAATACATGGGTCTTGAGTGAACAATAAATAGACCGTAAGATAGTGTTTAATTAATTATTGAGATACAAAGTTGCACAATGTGTTAAATATCTTTATTTTCTTCATTGAAACAGACAGTAGATTATTTGTTGTTTTTATGACTCTTTTTTTTTCTGTTTAATGATATATGTACATAATATATGTTATGTACATACTACATAAATGCCTCTTACTTAATATTGCTTTTAGTGACATATATCTAATGTTTATCAAAGATATAGTAAATAGTTAAAAATGGAAGCACTGCTAAGACTTTTATAAAGGAGAATATTTTCACTAAGCATAAGATTTGTTTGTTCAGGCTCCTGTGCTTGGTGATCCTGTAGCTGAGACAGTTTGTATTTTAGCTGACACCGATCAATGGTAAGTGCTAAATGCTCATTGTAAGAAGTTTTATATACATCAGAGTATCATAGTTGATACCAGTTACTGATAATTGAGGAGGAAAAGACATTTAGAAAATTAATACTTTAATACTGGTTTAAGTATCATAAAAGTTGGAATACAAATATGAATAAAAGAACCTGTACAAATTTCAAGAAACATTAAACAAACTTTCAAGAAAATTATAATATATCAAGGTCAATACTGATACTAATTTTTGTTTTTTTTCTAAAGGAGCGTCCATTTAATTTCAAGTAATCGACAGGATGGAGACAAAACAGGATCTTGTAGTCTGAGGGTGAGCATGTCACCAATTGTTTCAGGAATGTGTGAGTCCTTAATACAGATGTGTAAACTGAAGATGTCACCTGAGTTTGTAAGTATTAATATCTCATGTATACAGATGATCACTGTTCTGTTAGGCTAAGAAAACTAATTAGTCCACAAACACCACCTGTCTTAATTTTTCATTGTTTTATTTAATTCTGTGGTAGATTCAAAAATTTTCTTGCTGCATATTATAGGATTAATAATTTTACAGGAAAACCAAGAATTTTTCAGAATTATTACATCTTTGTCATAGGTGGAAATGAACAATTTTTTATGGTGACCACCATTAGTTTTATATCCTGTTAGTTTAACCTTTCATTGTAGTTAATAAAAGCTCTATGTAACAGTTCCTTACATAGTATCCATTTTGGTATTAGTTTAGTTTCATTAATTTCTATTAATTCTCTGTCATATTTACCACTGTTTTAAATTCATTTTGTAAGTCTTATGATTACTGTGATCCTTTTTCATGTAGTGTTATCACTTATACATTTTGGTACTTCTTAAGGTTTAACTTTATGTATTATATCATATGTTGAGCTAATATAAAGTTATACTATCAGGGCTATTTGTCAGGCTTTCATTAGACAATAGATATTGTTAGGCAGGATTATATAAAGTTTTATGTTCATTGGTAATGTGTATTTCAAAGAAGAGGAATGGGTGATAGTGCATTAAGCAAATGACTAGTTTTCATATGTTTTGTTTGAAAGTTATATTCTGTTCTTTCTTTAATATTAGTTACATTAAAATTACTAATTAAAATATTTAACTTGTACATTTATTGTTTTTAATATTGGGATTATTTTTCATTGTTAGCCTGGTATTTGGATTAAGGCTGAACTTCATGAGATATTATTGAGATTAGGGCCTAAAATATAAATAACAGTGAGAGTACTCAAATGATGAACTAATGCATTCTAATCTTTATACATTTTTGCTTCATGACATTGCAAGCTCTTAGTTAGACTGTTATATTATATTAGCTATATTATTTAATATATGGGTTAATTTTTAATTTTGATCTGTGTAGGTAGCTTGCTGTTGTTATAGGTCTGTGGAATTTGGCTGTTAGTCGTTAAAATGTTTTGGAATAGCCCTTGAATTTCTTATCTTCATAACTTTATGGACCTGAATATAATATAATTGTTTTGCAAGAATACTGGAAAAGCATTCTATCTACTTGAACCATCAGATTTTCACTAATGTTATTCTTTATTCCTACTCTCAAATAATTATCAAAGTATATTAACTGTCAAAAAAGCATAGTTAACGATCATTTGATATTATTTAATTTATTAGGATATTGTTCATAATTTAAAACTTACATATATCTTTTTTCTTATATGATTGTTCAGTGTTTGATGCATCTGGAAGACAGGCTTCAGGAGCTTTATTTTCGCAGTGAATCTTTAGTGTCTTACCTTGCAGACAACAGAACTCCTGATAGTTTGGACAATGCTGTAGCTGTGCTTGGGTTTGACCCCACTGACTTACCTCTTCTAATGTCTGTGGCCTTAACACATGCACCTCAGTTGGGAGGACACACCTGATGATTTTATTGAAATTGAGAGTTTTGGAAGAATACTACAGTAATGTTTTCTAGTCATTTCAAGGATTTGAGGTGGTGGATCATTTGTACTGATGAACTGGTACAAAAATGAAAAAAATAGTATTTAATTTTGCTTCTTAAATTACAGATGGTTTCTGAAACATAGAAAGCACATAAGCTAAGTTTGACTTTTCACTAGATATTTCACATTAACAGAGTATTTTTTTTAAATAATATACTTTTTGTATTGATTTTTTCTGTTTTTTTCTGACTAGCTTTTAATCATAAGCCAACTGATCTCAAGACTAAAGTTACAAAAATTTTTCAGAGGTGTTGGAGTGAATTTAGTAGTACATTATTCCAACTGATGCAACAACTCCTATGTCAGAAGACAAAAAATAAAGCAAAAAGCTATAATTGCATCTTAATTGAGCAACTGTATAAATATATTAGGTTAATGTAATTACAAAGTCAAACGGTTATATTTAGAAAACAAGCACCAAGATAAAACTTATATCAAAGACGCTTTTGATCAGTTTATAGAATTATGAATTAAATGTCTGTAGTTCCTTGTAAAGGGCAAATAACTTTATAAAACAGTAATTTATGAAATCAGAACTTCAGCAAATTTCTCCTTCATTTGGGTATTATGAAATTGTAATTATAAATATATTTTCAATGTACAGGTTTCTCTTGTGACATCATAACTCCTGGTAAAATGTCTGTGTCATTCTTGGAGGTGAAAACTACTGCATACAATGCTAAATGAAAATACTATTTGTTTCCATAAATTAGTAAAAAAGATATTTGTCATATTCTATAAGAGTACGTTTATACTTACATTTAGAAGATTTTGGATTGTAAATTAAAAAATATTTTTTAAGTATGTTATTTTTCACTACCAAGGTAATTAAAACTGATACCAGGAGTTTGAAACCATGGTGAAATACCTTTATATAGGTAAGAAATTACCTGCTACGCACAGACTCACACGTATTAAAGATACAAACATAAATTATAATAAAATAAGAAGTAAAAGTGGCTGCTGCTGACTTGTTACCTCCCTATGGTCATTGGTTTCAGTATTAAGGATGATTGTATGCTAGTTGAACTATGCAGTGACAAATGTGCTACAATGGGAAAGCCTGTGCTTTGGCTGGTTCTAAACTCTTCTAGTGTGTAAATCAAATCAGTCAAATTAAAGTTAATTTAAGTTAAAACTGAATTAATGTGTTAGCAAAGTAGAATTTTTTTTTTTCCAGATGGAAATAATTTTATGTAATAATAAATACACAAGAAATATAGGGTATACAAATTAGGGTTGCTGGACTTTTTTTTTTTTTCTGAAAATAAGCTAATATTTTTCACAGAAAAATACAACAGGAATTAAGGAATTGTATATACAAGTACAGGAATATTAATTCATAGTTTTGTATAAATGTATTGGATAAAACCCCCTCAATGAAATGTTGTGACAAGTAGGTTGTAACTTTGGAATGTTTTTTTAAAAGCTTGGATGAGGTGATGTATTCTGGTAACAAACTTTGGACATTTGAAATAACAAGGAAGTTGTTTGTTTTTATGATTTATTGAGTGCCATGTGCCAAAATGTGCCACAGCACAAATAATAGGTAGCAACTGTGTTGCACCTTTTGAAACTAAATTTCATGTAGTGTATCCTACAACCTGTACAAATGTATTTAACTAATTTTTCTAAGTAAATCTCACAGGTTCAAAAGTTTGCATTGTAATATTATTTTAAGATGCTTTATTGTGTTATATAACTTTTGGGTTAGGTTATGTTTTCAAAAGTGTATTATATGTTCCAGAACATTATTAATTAGTGTTATTGTTCACTTATTTATTTTGACACAAATATTGTTAAAAATATCAATTTTGTCATTGAAAATGATTTAGATAAGTCATTACTGTGTCAAACTGTTGTGATGCTATACGGATCTTTGAAAAAGTATTCAAGTAAAATGTGTTCCTGGTTGCTAGTGTACAATCCAATGCTTTAATAGGACACAATATGGATACATGTTTTTGCCAGAAATTATGAAAACGATTTTTAGTACCATAAATTTGTGAAGGAGAATTTAGAAATCCACTATTATGATAACATTTTTTGAATATTTCATGGTCACATCTTTAGCATTTATTAACAAACCTTGTTGCACTAAACTATCAAACAAATACTGACATCTGATAGCCCAAGATGTGGCCTTGCTTTTGAAACAATATTTTTCACCTTTGTGCCTCATCAGGTAATAACTGGTTGTGAACCAATGTTAACTTTTGTGTATATCAGATACAAAACTGTCTATTTAGTCATATTCCAAACTACTCTTTCAAAATATACATCGTTGTTTGGGTTTTAGAAAATTCTGTGGATTCAAAACAATTTGGCTTTCTTACGAAAGATGTTCATTTACTACATTGTCATTTTTATTGTAAGACTAATTCCCTCGGTTGCTGTTATAATAATATAGTGAAGTATTAAATCGAGGAAATTCAGTTAATTCTTTCTGATTGCAATATTTGATTCTTTTCTTTATGTAAATTAACATATATTAAATAAAATTATGATAAGATTTATACTATTTGTCTGAAATGATGCAAGTATTATCTAGTAACAAACTTAAAGCAAAAATTCTTAGAGCATTAATATAGTTGGTTTAATTTGAAATGAAAAAATAAGATAAAGAATAAAATGAGGGTTGTACTGTTATCTACACAGTTAGAGTACATTAGTCTACTTAAAACTAAACGTTTTGGATTTGTAACTTTTCAGAGTAATACATTTTTCTTAATCATGTCATATGCCAGCAAAATGTATACATTTTACTTTAATAAGTGCATTTACATTGATAGAAATATTTTGCACAGTTTTTCTTTTTTTTTTGTTAACTTCTTTTATTACACATTAGGAGACTAGGTTTTTTCTAAAGAAAATCCAATCCTGTACATTGATGTTCATGCATAGTGTTTGTCTATGTATTAAAAGTTACGTTTATGTTCAGTGAAGTATCTGAGAAATTTCAGGAAATGAAAATTTATTGCCATCTGTACATATAAATGATAGTTATAAAATTGTTGAAATGATTATATTGTTATTCTTTCTTTTTATGTTTAATTAATGTAGTTAAGGAAGGAGAAAGGTTTGGCTTTTTTAATTTTTATGTCTTAAATTATGATTACATTTATGTTTTTGGTATATATATATATATAAATCAAAATGTTAAATATGTTGTTTTCTTAATCTTTGTAGAATTAAATAGTTTTATAGTACTAGTTTTACTCAAATTTTTGTTGTTGTCAAAGTCAACTCTAATTTATTAGGCAGCATATTGTAACCTCATTATAATCTGTTTAATTCCATTTTTTTTGTCATTCTATTAAACTAAGTTCACAATCCTGTAAAAATTGTGGTAAGGACATTGCCCTGCATTTAGACAACTGTGGAATCAGAATGTTAATGTTTATAATTTAGTGTTGGTTGTATTGAGTCTAAAAACTTTGTCTTATGGGTTTTTTCTAATAAATCTTTAAAACTTATGTCACGTAAGTTCACATGGTAATTGTATGATATTAATAACTATTTATTTTCTTATAATTATTTTCTTTAGAAGTTCTAGAAATATCTGGAAATATACCTTCACCTTTTTATGAATTAACTGGGGGTGGGTGGGTAATAATGTATATTTTTCATTGTATCTAAAGAATTGGTTGAGCATTTTGAGTTACTTAAGATGGCTTGCATTTTTGTAATTTTACATTAACACAATTAATATAAATCTTCAGATTATGTTTCGTGTGAAGAACTGCGTGTCTTAGAAGTATGAGCTGTGTTGCATTTTTGAAGTTAAAGGTGTTAGAAACTTGTATATAGCAGAATTGTGTAAATATGAACATATAGTTTCTACAACTAATGATATATGACTCCCAATTATGTTGCTTCTCATATTTGCAGTACGTAGTAATACAAGAGTAAATAACAATTAAGAGTGTGTTTAGATAGACATGGCTTTTTGTATAAATTGAGTTTTGCATCATCTTTCTTTTAAAATAAAGAAGTTATGCAGCAATATTGCTTAATCTAAATATGATTATAATGTAGGTGATTTGAAATTAGTAAAAAGCAACCTCATATGGTTGAAAATTCATATTGCAGATTATTTACAGATTGAAAGCACACTGTTCAAATACATTTATTATGCAGATATTCAACAAGCAAGTTATTTTCAAACTCTGATAATGCATATTTGTCTCTGGAGAGCAAAAATGATCATGTTCATATAAATAAAACATTCTGATGTTCTTCAGCTGGATATATGCAACTTATAGACAGAGATAATGATGGTGGGTAACAGATAAGTAAAAGCAGTCCAGTTCCTTAGTAAACAGTTGACAAAGACAAAAATAACCAATACAAGTTTAAAAATAGCACTTTATGAAAAACCTAAAATTTGTAGTTGGTGGTTAGCTGACTGAAGAAAGTAGAATACAACCCTATAATTATTTATCTATGGGAACAACCAACATAAAAACATAAATTTTGAGAAAATGGAAACAATTTCAAAATTAATAAGATGCTTAAGACTTTTGCATGAGGTGGATACATAATACTAAGAACATTTTGCCTCATACAGTAACACTTATCTTGTGCTGTGCAGGTTATAAGACAGCATAATAAGAGGATGGTAATTGTTTTCACTATGTAAGTTCACTTAAAACAGACTTCTAATAAAAGGGGTTTGAAAAGAACATTACTGGTGATACATCCATCTTCAGCTATGTGTAATCGGATTTTTTAATATTTGATAGTTGGAGAAGTTCATTTCTTTAAACATTGTAGTTATTAATTCAAGAAAATGTGATATAATGGTACTTTTCTGTCTTCCACTAGGTGCTAGCTTACTTCACAGGCCTAATTTCGAAAATTGCTATCGCAATGGGAAGTTGTTTTTTTATTTTTACAATTGTATTTCCTCATACTTATTCATTCTTACAAAACTTTGTACAAAAAACGTTTGTGTGTTTATGTGACACATTGCTGCCAGTACAGGCTAATTACTCCTATGCACTTATGATATTTTTATGTACAGAGTGCAATAAAATGAGTTTTTCAACACCTGATTTCAATATTTTTTCTATTAATTAGTGCCGTAAAATAAATTATACGCTTGAAGCAGATCAGTGATAGAACAATGTATAATACTAAATTAAATTTGTTAATACGGCTTGTGCAGTCAGCCCTTGACTAGCTTTGCACGAATATCGGGAAACAAACAAGTACATAAATTGCATTTCAGATAGACTTTTGGCTATCATCATGAGTTCTGATTTGTGACATACAAATATTGTTATTCATCTGTCATCTGAAATCCGCAGTGAATTAATTAAGAAGAAGCAGTCTATCATAACTTTTTTCACGAATTTTAGGCCTACTGATACTATTTTGATGATTTTTGTTTTCGTTGGATAATCTACGGTACATTATGTGTTTGTGTGTGTGTGGTCAGTGTGGTTTTCCTTTTAATAATTAATTAAGGATTCTTCCAACTGAATCTATTGCCGAAACACGACGTTGTCTTTGGACCGTACGAATGTATAACGAACTTTCCATTAAACTTATTCAAAATATGTTTAAGACAAAATAAGATTGGAACAGATTTAAAAGGCCATTCATTTTTTATCAATAAGCTTTCTTTTATTGTGAGTTTTAAAACTGATTTGATATTATCTAGGATACAAATTTGAGGGAAAATCATCCAGTGTTCGCTTTATGTCTATAGATTACAGAAGTATGCAGTTTCAAAGTACATTACCAATCTTAGGCATCATGGGAAATAACTTGCAAAATATCCTTAAACTTCATTTGTTCTTTCATTGACCATTACATTGACAAGCTTTATGTGTTACAGAATGCGGTGTTTTGGAGAAGTTATTAAATTGTTCACTCATTTCAATTGGCTTTATACTCGTGACTTTGAAAAATATTCTCAGATACCCACAGTCATGAACAGAAAGCTAACATTTTTCTCATGAAATACAGACAGTCTTGTAGTCATCACATTTATATTTAGCCATAAATGAAGATAATTAGGTAGCATAATTTTAAAGATGTATAGCTTTTTCAAGCAATTTATATTACCATTTAGAATATGATATGATATATTTACGTTTTTCTGTTTTTACTCTACCTTAAATTACGAGATGTTATATAGGGCAAGATTAGCCAAAATGCAGAGTACACATATTGCCTATGAGCCCACAGTAGTTATGCTTCTTTTTTGATAGCCTTTTCAGATAATTTTCTAACATTTAAATGGTGAAACAGTACTCATTTAAAATATCAAAACTGGTAAAGAGTTCAGTTGATGGGTAAACTTCAATAAAAAAAAAGAAAAGAGAGAGAGAGAGCTTGTGAAGAAAGGAGAGACACAAAACTAAAGTTATTTATGGGTCTGCTGTGATCTTAATCCGGCTTTGGTGTTACTGAACTTACAATAGCTAGCTAAAGGTATACTAATGATCGGCCGATAATTTCAATTTGTATGTAAGTTACTTTTCTATCAAATTTAAAGTCATAATAATAATAATATGTATTCATGTTACTTTTGAAAAGATTGTAGCATTCCATGAAATTTTTAATTCCTTAATTAAACGATAGCAAGTGGCGTTGTGGCTGTTGTATTTTTAACAGAATTTAATACATTTAGTATTTAAAATACGATAGGTCAAGAAGGGATCTGTTTGCTGTTAATCACAAAGCTGCACAATAGCCTATCTACACTGTGCCCACACCGCAGGTATCGAAAACCGGTTGTTAGCTATATAAGCTCTCAGAGTTACAGCTGAACCATCTGAGGGGTTACATATAGAAGATGAAACCTCGTTTTCAAAGAATGCTCCCAGTGGTACAGCGGTAAGTCTGAAGGCCTATAACGCTAAAAACCGGGTTTCGATACCCATGGGCACAGTACAAATAGCCCATTTCGAAAAATATGAATGAGTTTCTGCGTTCCATCTACAAAATATTCTAAAATTGAATACATTATTGCCTACGTAATGAAGTGTGAAGAGCTAAACGCTAAAGCGCAATTCTAATAGTTTTATTACACACTGGAAAGTAAATAGCTTTGAAGTTGTAATTACATCTATCTGATATTCAGAATTTGATTAATCATACATACAATTCTTTTTGTAATGAGAGAACCTTTTCTTAAGGTTGAGTTCTGGTTGACAAATAAGATTAGCAGTGTCAAGAAAAAAATCCCTGAATAAATAACGTCAATGTTGTTGTAAGTGCAATTAAAGGTTAAAGTGTTACTACAGTGACCTCTAGTAAGTTCAAGTTCAAACAAATACTAATAACTGAATTGTAGGCTGAAGTAACACCCTGACCTATTCCTTGTATTTTTGGAGGATAGTTGACGAAATTGTATAAAAGGTTTTACGAGATAAAATTGCGCAGGTTTTAGAGTTCCTTAAGTTTGATTTTGCAGTATTGTCTTAAGTAGAGTATTATTAAAGAAACATTTATGTCAATACACACAAGGCGCTCATTTATTTTTAGAGCAAAACCATATTAGGCTACCTGATGTGTCCACTGCTGGGAATCAAACTCCAGTTTTTAGCGTTATAAGTCCGTAAAAGTACCGATGTCCCATCGGATGACTACACACAAGGCATCATTTTCAACTTATCAAATTCTGTTTGTAGTATGTCTGGTATATAGATTATCGAAATCAAAAGTTTCGATTGTTTAAGCCCTAAAAATCTATAATTTCCTCCATGTATTCGATGAATTTATTGATTATTATAAACAGATAAATAATGGCTATTTCTTGGATATTACGGCATTTATTTAAATGCTCCTCCACTAATGTACTCAGGATCTTAACTGATTAGAATTGTTAAGTCTTTAGTTCTTGTCTTAACGTAAATCTGCTTCGTGGGTTATCTAAGTTGTGTTCTCCACGTAGAATAAACCCACATCTTTAGTCATAATGTTTTTTTTTTTCACCAGCAATGATAGAATTTGTACAGTGATGTATGTAATTTGGTGATACAAAATAATTTACGTATTACATATTATATTTTTCCTTAAGGACACCAGTCTCGTTCACACCGTAATATGTTTCTGTATGTTTATCTGAACTTGTGTATATATATCCCATTAAATGAAGATATTACTGTTTTTAGATTAATTATAATATCTTATGGAAAGTTGTAATAGGATGTATATTTTTCTTTCGTTTTTACAAATGAAAATAAATTTATTGATAGAATTGACTTTGTAAATATTTTAAACATTATCAAAATCTTTTGTAGTATCCAATGCGTTTATGGATCTTATTTTCATTTTTTCCTCCTTTCTGGTTGTTTATTACACCATTTATATGAAGCCTTTTTTGAGAGCTTGCTATGTACGGTGATGCTACGCGGTGGCTCACCGTTAAGTCTGGGGGCTAAATATCGAGTTTCCATACCTGCGGTGGGCACAACACAGATATTTTACTGTGTAGCTTTGTGTCTAATAAGAAACAAGCAACAAATTCGCGATACCATTTAAGTATAGTACAATCTTCAAAACCAGAATCCTAGCTCACTAAGAACCGTAAGATTGCTTCTTGAGTATTGTGCAAAACTACTTAAGGGCTATCTGCCATAGCCAGTTTTTTTTATTTAGAACTGATAGCCTAGAAGGAATGCAACTAGTCAACGTTTCCCACCGCTTACTCTTGGGCTTCTGTTGCTTGACAGAATAGTGGGATTTGACAGTCGCCTTTATAACGCATCTACGGCCCCAAGGCACGGAGCTATGGTTGTGAACTGATGGGTCTATTGTAAATATGTTCTTCAGCCAATATCGTTGGAATACACCCCGATAAAAATATTTTTCTAATGTATGACGTGGAAAGTCGTGCGTGAGTACTAAGCTGTGTCACCGTCACCTGAGCAGTGTGTATTAATCAGTTTCCCTGTGCTGACATACAAAGTCCTGTTAACGAGTTTTTATATTGTATCTTCTAAATGTACATTTACAATCCGCCCCCAGTGGCACAGCGGTATGTCTGCGGACTTACAACGCTAGAATCCGGTTTCGATACCCGTGGTGGGCAGAACACAGATAGTCCATTGTGTAGCTTTGCGCTTAATTACAAAACAAACAAACAAACAATTTACAATCCACTGTTACTACAATAAAAGTGGCCAGGATTTAATGATATCTGATAAACTTATCACAGAGCTGCAGCTCACCTCTTCCACAAACCATGCTAGAAGATAACTTGTGAAGTATGCTCATTTCTCACGTTGTTATGCTTGCACCCGGATCAGCTACTATTACATGTTCTGGGAGAGATCAAATTGATTGTAAATCAGTGTTGAACTTCTCCACTCATCTTTAGTTTACCTCCGCTAACCAACATGTAGTTAGTATTCGCTAACGTAAATGGTAGCTTTAATTAAAGTGTCTGATACACTACAAGGTAAAGACATGACTGCTCCAGGGCCAAATAAAAATGCAACCTGTTATCTTTGTATGATTACAGACGAATATCAGACGCAGTGTGTGTAAAGCGAACCGCCACAACTTCTGACACAGAGACTTCACTGTGTCTCCACAAATTGGTGACTGAATTCGACTTGGCACAAACTATTTTAAATAGCTACCCTTTCAATTCTTATAGCTTTGTGGTTTTTTTTATTTTTTCAATTTTGCTATATGTTCTGCCACATCCTATTCAGTACTTGAACATGATTCAAACAGTTCGGCCTGTTCACACCTGAAGCAAACATCTCAATTATTCTCGATATGTTGACTATGACAACTGTATCGCCCCAGCTATTAATCAACAGTTCTGACAGGATGCTGAAGCTCTTGTCTCATGGTTTGACTCCATCTTTTCTAATAACCTACAGTTCGCTGCAAGTGTAGCTGAGTTGAATGCGTCTTGCTTTTCTGGCACTTTAAGAAGTGCAAGAGAATTTAGAAGTTGAAGTACAATAAGAGGAGCCATTATATATGATAAAGGCTGCTACTGTCTTCTTATGCTATGTCATTTTACCTAAGTTAAAATTGTGGACTGATAATCACTGACTCAGTCAGCTTCAGTTAGTGGCAAAATGACCCTGTTGCTGCATGGGGTCAGTTGACAAATTTTCTATGAATTTGTCAAAGTGGTTTTGTCACAAAAGTAAGAACCTACGAGTGACTGCTCACAGTAAGACTTTCCATTTAAGAAAGCTTTTAACATACGGGGCACTTGGTCCACCTCCCTGGAAAATATATATTTTTTTCTTTATTCATTCAGCATATGTATATGATTTTTTATTTTTTTTTCAATTCACAATTTCACATTACTTTGCCCCTTTCTGGAAAATTTTCTGCGAACGCACATGGTCACAGGCGTACTGTTTCTCATGCCTGAAGCCAAAATTCTGGTAAAGCAGAAACTTCGGAAATATTTGTGCAAGTAAATGTGCTACACGAATTCCGCCCCCTTTTATTTTTCAGGATTGTGCTCTTTCCGACTTTACTTTAAAATTAAAACCAACTAACAACTTTAAAGAATAAATCTGTGATCTTTAAACATATACTTTAATATTAAATTCTACGACGTCACAATATAGCGACATCATACACAGGCCTCACACAATCATCCGAACTAACAAGCATCGAACAAAGACAATACAAAATATCACCAAATAAGGATGAAAAAACTCATAATGGAGCACTAATCTCTATAAAACAGTTTGAAACAATTTCACAACATGATATTCAGCATACATGATACATAAACGCAATTAAACAGTAGCATTAAAACAAGCGACAAGCTCCCCAAGCAAAAACAATTAGAATCAGGAGTAATTCCTGCAAATGGAAAATCTTGCTTTACAGCTATGAGGACTTAAAGGTTATGTTGTTCTAGGGAATCATAAGTTAACATATGGAACTACCATAGCTAATGGGTAAAACAAACCTAACTGTCCCAGGTTTAGACACAGTTCTACTAAGATCTAGTTTCAGAAGTTTATACAACATCCGTTCACATGCCAAATACAGAGATAATTCGAATTCGATTACGAGGAACCCACTTAGAGACTAATAATGCTTGGAGACGGTTTCAATGAGTAATGAAAAAAACATTGATATAAGTCTAACATAACAGCAAATGTGCAACGTTTCGACAAGGTTTTGTCATCATCGGGTACAAGGAGTTTACACTGACATTTAAACTTCGTAACCTGAATATAAAAATCATCAAAAGGAGAAACGATATTTCCTTCCTCAGACAGTGCCGCTCTAAATCAACACCCTGGGGTGCCAAGATATCTCTTCTAAGTCGTGCAACAATATCCGGTCATGTGACCTCTTTGTTCCATACAGAGATCATATATATATATATATATATATTCGATGACGAGGAATCCACTTTGAGACTAATAATGTGTGTGTGTGTGTGTGTTATATTCACTAGTTCCAGAAAAATAAAATAATAGTTAAAAAATTCCACAAATTTGTTGTCCAGTTAGCTATATTCAAGTTCGATCTCAGATTCTTTAATAAAATTTTGAGTTTTTTATTGGAGTTTACACAGTAATATTGGAAAAAACTTGAACAGACATGCCAAGTTTATACTAATATTCGATGTTATGATATATCAAAGAAAATTTAAACAATTATTTACAAGATATACACGTAGAATTCGCAGTTATATTAACATTTCAATCACTTATTTTTTCTTTTAAACCAGAATTCACAATTATATAAGAAAATAACTTAGAAACTAACAGTATCAATACCGAAAGTACATACATGCTCCAAACATGATCAATTGGTTATATATTCTTTACATGTCAGTTCTGTAAACAATTCAATATAATCATTGCTTCCTATATATTGACTTAACAATCTGAAATGTTTCAATCAGTCGTACCTATATGTTACTAATAATAAGCACATACATTAATAGAGTAAAATCTTATGTTTAAGTATATTCATCTGATTTTTATTGGATTAATTCAGTAATATAAACAAAATCTACGCAATTGAAATTATCCTTCCATATGTTTCAACAACGCTTTTAGTGGCAACCACTAAAATGCGTTTTCGAATGCACGAATTGTTAAGTAAATGTTTAAATTTCGGCTAACCATATTTTTTTGTGGCAAACCATATGATATAAACGATGAGTTAGAAAGTTATTTTGAAGTCGGTAACGTGTTACCAAAAATCAAACACTTTTACTGATTTCAATACATGTACAAAACTTTAATAATCGTAAAACTATTCATGTTGTACTTTTAAACGAACTTAACGCTCTTTAGTCAAACTGTGAAGATAGTTAAATTCATTTGATTATTAATTTTTAGTATGCTTTTCGTACATTAAAACTAATATAAAGAATGATAGGGAAAAGTGTCGTTCTAGAATTCGGAAAGATTGCGTTCAGAATATATCTTATACGAAAATAAGGTTCTAGAAAGAAATAATAAACTATATGCAGCTGTAAGTTTCTAATTTGACACACACAAAATGTCCAACTGTGAGAAAGATGCTTCGCCTCGTGATATGGTCGTAACGAAACTGTTATAAAAGCTCTATTAACACAAAAGCTCAATATTTCCTTTCCACAAACTGGTATCTCAGCGGCTTATCAGGAGCATTTACTAAACGAGTGTAACAGTCAATATCTTCGTGATGATACTCCACTCTGAACCTGCGTAAAATCTGAAAAAAAAAGAGTTAAAAGGTTTAATAAAAACATTACAATTTTAATTCACTGAGTGTTCGTTTGAAATTTCGTGAAATAATTGCTGTTTTCAGTCAAAAATTTCTTTTAAATTATCTCTTACAAAACATCATAATGATAACAATACTTCAACCTAAGTAGGAATAAATTGTGAACATTTCGAGAAAGAAGCCGTTTATCTAAGGTCTAAGAAGCTTGTTAAAGTTTAGGTACAAATCAACATTGAAATTACTATAGATAATATAAACATCGTAAAAGTATATTGAGAAACAAGCAGTCTAAGAAGCAGACCTGTGAAGCTTTAAGTACAAGTCAATGTTGAAATTAATATGTAGAATAAAAACAGCGTAAGAGTATATTGTCATACTAAAGATGTCTTTTAAAGGCCAATCTATCAAAAACTGTAAATGAACTTAGTATAGATATACAAATACTACACAAGTAGATTAGTGGTGTTAAAAGATGTGATATACGACAAAACGTCCTTACTTTCATAGGGGAAAGATTAGAGCCCGTCAGAACTAAACTCTTTATGGCTGGAGAATTTTATGATGTTATAATAATTACTTTGCTCAGTTTTCAAGTGAGCTGAACATGAGTCTAGAGACAGCCATGTTAAACAAATCACGTTGGTTTGTGTTATACCTACTGAAATATTGTGAAGACTGGCTTAAAAGCCCCAACATAATTTGTGGAGGTTATTTCAAGATGTTATTTAAAACACAGTTTTACAGTCGTCATCAATTGAAAAACGTAATAAGGAACGTTGAAAGCATACTGATCTAGTCGTCTCTCAAAAACTAGTTCAGAGCATTTCTCACATAAAATGAAATTTTTAACTCGAAGAGCATCTTATGCGCATGTGAGCTACATTGCCAGGTTAAAGACTCCTAGGATTCAGATATAGTCGTTCCTATTTATGAGCTACTAACTAGAGGGAAGATCCCAAACCAACAGCCACACGGGTTTTACGCGGGTTTTGAATCAATTAGTGGGATTGACTGTCATTTTTATAACGCGCCCATACCTGAAAATATGAAGCATATTTAGAGGCATCATGTGTTTAAAATATCACTTACCGCTATACGTCCGGTATTTAAACTTCTTTTTTTTTTGTTTAGAGTTGGTTTGAATTTTTTCTTTCCAAATTTAAACTCCTAATAAGAAAGAGCAACAGACCTTTATTTAAATATAATTTACTTATTTTCTTATCTTTTATACAATAGATCAGTTATTCTTATACAAACCTTTGCTGCAAGCAACCAAATTTCTTGCTCGGCTATTCTTCTCCCAACACACATCCTGGGGCCAAATCCAAATGGAATAAATAGAAAAGGGTGGGACTTATTTTCGGCTTCGTCTTTTAGCCATCGTTCCGGTTTAAATTTTAGAGGTTCTGGGAAGTTTTCCTCCAATCGGCTTGCCACCATATTTTGTGACACAAGCAGAACCTATGGAAAGGACTTAATAACTGTAGACCAAGATAAATTATTAACTAGACTATATCAAACCATATCTAGCAGAATGACTTAGAAACTATAGTTAGTACAAGCTTAGTATCATGAAGTAAAATGTGTTGTAATTATGATATTAAGAATATAACCTGGATGAAAATGAAACGGAAAAATTATTGTAAAAGAAATCCTGATACATCCTAGCGATTTTAGAAGGTAACTCTTCAAAACATCCAAATCTGGTTTTTAACTTTTACCACATGTTTGCATCGGTACCATATAACTTTTTATATTTATGTGTTTATTTAATATTTTAAAGACATATTAGAATGCAAGAAAAGTGTTTCAAATTCTATAAAACAATAGCGTTTCATTATTTTTCAGAAAATACGGTTACATAACATGATAAAAAACAAGCGTCTAGGAATGTCAATAATTGTAAATATTATTCTAGATTTCATATATCACAGAAACGGTAAATCAATAGTTATATTTCAGTGATAAATCTAATAGTGCTCTGGTTTGATCAGAAATGATAGTAAGAAAGAAAAATGTTTTAACTTCGAAAAAACCCCAGCAAATGTTGTTACTTTTCAGAAAATACACCTAAATAACACGATAAAACATATAACTTAAAGTTTACATAATAATTAAATATTACTATAGTTATATATCTAGTATTGCTGTGGCTTGATCACAAATATATACGTATATGTTATCCATCTGTAACAAACGTTAAGAAACTAGTTTCAAAACCGACTTTGTGTGGAAAAAAAGAAATAAAAAATGTCTCACAAAACTCATCTTACCCCTGGAGGAACACGATATCCTGACAGAACTACTTCATGATCCAGTTCTCTTACCGTACCTTGTAAAATGGGATTCAACCTGAATGCAAAAATTCAATCACAATAATCAATATTCATGTTTATTTTTTGAATTCAATACAGCGGTTGTTATTCAAAGGTTATTCAAGCATAAGTTCCATATTAAGTGAGTAGGCCACGCAAGATATCAAACAACATCATGAAAAGTTTTAAAACAAAATCGTCATCTGAAACATTAAACTAATGAACAAATACTCATGTACGAAATATTCATTATTTTGTGTATATACAGTTTAATATGTAAGTAAAACATTATAAGTAAGAAAAGATGACTGTTTCAAAGTTATACCATGAGTTTTGAAGCAGTGACTACATTTTCGTAAGTTTAATTACGTGCCGTACTGAAAAAAGTGTTCTAGTTTAACATCACAAACGACCTGTACTTCTCTTAGAGACAAATGATATATAAAAGTATACAAAAGGATATTCTATTATCACAGAAAAAACAAAGTATCTGATGTCATTATAATAATATTCAGTATGATGCTTACTTTGTTTCAGACATTCTCGTAAAGCTACAGAATGTCTATCTGCGATAGACGTCCCTAATTTTGAACTCGTAGACTAAAGGGATGGCAGTTAGGCAATAGCACTCACCAGTCAACTCTTCGGCTGCGCTAATCGACAATCGGTGAGTTTTAATCGCCATTCTTACAACGCTTGTACGGCTCCAAAGTGCGGAGTGCGATTTTATGGTAACGGGATGTGAACTACAGACCTTCCAATTTAAATTCCGACAGGTTAATCACTAGGCCATGACCGGCCCATGATGCTTAGAAAAGTATCATAAATTGGGTCCATTGTTATACGTCCAAGTAAGAAAAAAACGAATTATTATAAAAAACAAACAACGTTAAAAAATGAGTTATTTAATTATACAGAATGTATAATCGTATGATTGTTTTTGTTAGTATTATCTATTTATCTTATTTTTCTTTAAATTATTTTTTCATATGATACGAAGAAAAAAGGCACGAACTTTTCATCATATTCTTGGTTAGATTTTTAATTTGGAGAGTTTTCCCCACAGTAATTAAGACATAATGAGCGTCTGCGAGAAGATGAAAAAATTTGCTAAATTACTCAAATTCTGGAAATGATAGCTGAAGAACAAGTGAAATGAGAACAATGTATTCGAATTTGCATTCACACAACCTTATATAACTTACTCATGTTGGATTCGCAACAAAGAAATGTACAGTGATGCGAGAACTAATATATCTTTTTCGATTGTTAAGAAGTTTGAGCTCTAGTTTGAGCCATTTAGAAAGAGGCCTGTAACACGTCGTACCCCAGCTTTGGTAAGAAAAGTGGAGCGTTATATAAAAAGTGAGAGTCTACGAACACAAAAATCAGTTGCAAAAAGCTGTCCGTAACCAAGAAAGATCTCCGTATGAAGAAAACAGTGACATGTATACAAGCTGCTTCCATGACACATCTTTTCAAAGCAGTTAGAAAATGTAACGGACATTCGTGTTATTCCATATGAAGGTATAATGGCCAAGTCGTCAGACAAAATGCATATAGGTCTTTGTGTGATCACTATGTTGAAACTGGTACTGGAAAATCACCATCCACATTCACTAGATGGATTATAGAAAGAATTCAAGATGGTTTGTTGTGCTTTGGACACGATAGCCTTACATCAGAATATTTTGCTATTACAGAAGTAAACTATGCTGCAGCTCTATTGTAAAGATGCACAGCCATCAGATGGCATGGTGAGGCTCCAGTATTGTTTTAATATAATGAATGTACTCAACCTCTGTATTTGGTCTATGGAGAATTCTTGACTAGTTGACTTCAATATTGCCACGGTTAGACTTATAGTAAAGTTGTTGTTTTTTCGAGGAAGGGTAATCATAGCAAGATTTGTAAACAATGCTGAATCACAAACATAACATTCCAAAGAGAGGAACATTCAGCCTTCAATATCATTCAAATAAAAGGAAAAACTCACACAACAGTATGTTTGTGACAGCAACTGGTTCTACGTTTGAAACCCAGCTCAGGGTAGCTCTTTCATCAATAAAATGAAGGCTATGATTAAGAAAGGTAATTCTTCAATGCCAAAAGCTATTGCAATGGAACTTTATCTATGTATATTTTATGGTAAGAAACAAAGATTTGAAACTGAAAAACTTACAAGCCGAAAGTCAACAAGTTTCCAGCCCTATTTCGAAGTCAACGGCAATCCTTATGAGAAATGTGACCTTTCATGTCACCTGATGGAACTCCATTGGACTTTGACATTTTTTGTTTTCTTAAACATGGCCTTAAAAGCCGACGTCTATGTACACTAGAAGGTCTGTGGAAGATATGTAAACTAAAATTTACCTTGTTGTTTTTTTCCAGAAAGTTGTTATAATGGTAATTACAGAGTAGGGTAATAGTCCATAATCATGATGATCAGGCTGAACATTATCGATGATGAGAAGGTAGTCCTTCAGGGACAGTACATGTCTCATAAATTGGTTTAGTCTTCTGATCAGCAACTTCTTATTTTATCTACTTATTGGTTATTTTATACCGACCCTGTTATATTCCTAACATTATTCAGTAAAGATTTTATAACATCTGTTTCTAATGAGTGTGCATTCCAATAATATTGAATTTATTCTACCTCCTCATCTACAAAGAGTGTTATCTTGTTGAATCTATAAATATAAATAGTATTTTGTTTGAAATTACTACCAACAAATTGAGCATATATTCAACTGCCTTCCTTTACGTTTCCATGGCCAGTGTTTTTGTATGAGGAAGTATGAAACGATTAGAAGGACTTTATATTATGACAGATATCATTCTTACTTATCTCACTACAACTTCCTATAACACTTACCTCATGCTTTCTTTAACACATGCCTTTACATAACGAAGTTGATTTAGTTCTGAAACTGACAAACACTTGCTACTATGAGGTAAAACTGATCGAACTTCCTGGTAAACTTGTTCTTGAACGTTTGGGTTTTTAGCCAGGTGGTAAAGAACGAAGGCCATAGAGTGAGACGTCTGGAACATCAGATTATTGGCTCAATCAACATAAACGCAAGTGTACTTATTCAACATTAATTATAGTTTTCTACTTGATAAACAATAAACAAATAAAATAATTTTCCTTTAAAATTAGCATTTTGTAAGCTTCGAAAACAAATCAACAACAAAGATGAGAGAAACTGAAACTTTTATAAAATGTAGAGTATATTTCAAATAATAATAATCGATTCTCGACAAAAATGAGGTAATAGATGTTTTCAAAGTAATGAGTGAGAGACTGTTTGAATTCATTAAATGAGTAATAAGTGCATTATTTAGTCAATTTGTCTATTACTAGGAGCCATTTAGTTAGTTCATTGCTGTGAATATACAAAGATACTAAAATTAGTAAGTGAAATTTATGTTAGAAGTGGTTTATTTGTGAAGTTAGGCCTATCAGTGAACATTCGTTATGCTAAATGTGGAACTTGAAAAACAGTAAAAGTTTTTGTTACTGCTAAGTGACTGGATATTCTATTATTGTTTTTATCAAATAATTCACAAGAGCCTGCCTAAAAATAGAAATGATTATGACAGCGGTGGTAAAAATCAAATCCAGATTCAACTTTAAGATAATGGTACGAGCTCAAAGTGAAATTGAAAATTTTACGGAAATGATAAAACAGTGAAAAAAAAATAAGGAAGAAAACAAGATCACAAAGGCCCTAGAAAATGTACACACTGAAGTTGAAAGAGCCACAAGAAATGAAGAAAAGGATTATAATTACAAGATCAACGAATTATAAAACGACACCAGTGAAGTACAAACGAACACAAATGAAGTATAGAAGTATTATAATATCATGATAAATGACAGACAAAAAAACAACACCAACATCAAGATAAGACATTGAAAATTGCATTGATAAATGCAAGGACCAAAACAGCCACACCTTTCTTTGCAGCTGCTCAATAATTATAATCTTAAATAACCAATAATTGTGCAATATGGAATTGGAGAATTAATCTGCTCTACACCTGTTACCACTACTACAGTGCTAACTATGCAGGAACTTCTTAAAATATTCCAAGTACACTACTAACTCATCAATATTCAGGCCACTTCAACAACATTTCCCAAACTATGAAGAAAAGTATAATGGAAGGAATATAAGGCACAGTTTGAACTAATTTCCAAAGTGAATGAATATAATAGCGATCAAGGTGCTTTCTTGCTGTTTATTTAAATAGGCCAGCTTTAATAACCTTCCAACAGAAAAAGTTAACAACTATCAGCCATTGATAGCTGCTTTATCAAATAGATTTGAAGTGTTAAGTCAGAATAAAGTTTCAAATTTAAAGTTTATGAGCAGAGTTTGTTTGTTTTAGAGCAAAGCCACATTGGGCTATCTGCTGTTTCTACGTGGAGAATCGATCCCAAGATTTTAGCGTCGTAAATCCGTAAACTTACTGCTGTCCCACCAATGGGATGAAGAGTAGGGTAAAAAGGACGGACGAAACCTTAGCTGAACTTGCCTAGAATGTGGAAATACTTACCCAAGTTATCTTATCCAGGCATTTAACGTGAAATAATAGAATTTTGGCATACATGTAATTCATAGATGCTTTAGTAGATGAGTATATACATATTAGACTAAAAAAGTAACTGTACGTCTTTAGTTGAATGTATTCCATTGACACTGAAACTAGAATCAATTAAAGTTGCATATAAGCAACCAGAGACATAATCCATGAATTATTGGATTGTCAGATCATATTGTGTAGAAATATCAACTTCCAGTGATGGGGGTGTTGACTCAGAATGTAAAACATAAGTCCGAAGACATATGTATGTTAATTGATGCTTAATAAGGTAGTCGTGAACTGCAGATGAAAGCCTTTAAAAAACAGAAACTATTCGGAAGGATAACAAGAAAGGGAAACTGCAATTTGTGTGGTAAACCTGGAGATTACATCTAAAACAGTGATGATTTAATCAATAATAACAAACTGAAGAGACAGTATCCTAAGGATAAGAGTTCTCAATCTGCCCCAGATGAGATAAGGAGTACATTATTTAAAGACAACAGTCCATGAGTCAAAGGATTCATTGATGGACAGTCTTGAAGCATATTGACTTACACTGGTTCTATTGATATGACTCTTCGATTGAATCTCGTAATTAAAGCTGGAAAATTGCCCCTAATACATGAAACAAGTAGTTCGACTGATACAAACAGAAGTAGTAACACATTTCTAGTAAGACGAAAGTGGGAAGTCACTCTCACCATGGGAAGCTTGTCTGCACGACATGATGTGTGGGTAATGGACATTGGCATTAAGGAAGATTGATTTCATGCAGAAACATAGATGTGAGGTTAGACTATAGCCAAGAGATTCTGTGCACCACTGGACGACTACAACACCAGACGTTTAACTTCCAGTGACAACAAGGATGGAAGTACAGGATAATAAAAACAACCAGTGTAAAATGTAAGATAATGGAGTCCAAGATGAAACGTTAACATTAGATGGACTAACGTGTTCTAGCACTGAAAGAAAAGATCTTCAGGCAAAATACATAACAGTATTAAGTCGATTATTTAATGGGTCAGGAATGATTCAAGGCAACCCCCAAGGCAGACATGGCTCAAAACAGTCCAAAGATGAAGATATACGGGGTACAGTCTTTGAACCATAAGTCATAGAAAAGAAAACATTAGAAAGATTTGATGACATAGCAGTTTAAAGACAATAATCAAGTGAAGAAGCTAGATGTTGTTTTGTTAATCAAACTCTTACTTGTATTTTATGTTTTACATATTTCATCAACGGTTGTAATGAATTAATATTAATGTAGCTCAATATCAAGACAGCTGTATTTAGATCTTAATCTTCGTTAGTTACTTTATCTGCTGTCAAATACTATTGTTTTAGCAAGTTATCAGTTTTTCTAACAGTTTTATTTGTCAGTTGGAAAATTACAACGTCTAAGCTACAATATAATAAATTCGTCAATTTTCATGGTAATCTGATAATCTTCGTTGCCTTTTTTTTCAAAGTTACTTGTGGCAAAAAGATAAAATAGAATAGTGACGATCAATCTTGCATGATGAAACATCACGAGTCTGCATTTACTTACCGTGTCAATTCCAGCCATCAACATGTCCAAAATCATTGTAATAACGTCACGAGAATCCATCTGCTTCTTGGATAACATGGTTTCTAGGAATGTCATTTCTCTGTCTTCTTGAGCTGATACTTTGATTCGTTCCAAAGCTTTGTTCAAGTAATCCATAGCAGTCCTTAAAATTTTAGCAAACATAAGTTAAAAACTGGAAAAAAGTTCGATAATAGCCTTACCATTTTTAACTGAAAGAAACATTATATGCTAAGGGCTGATACAAACACTTAAAATATCATAATCCATGCATAATTTACGAATTCATTTACCTACAATGATAACTTACGGAATAATGTGTATCTTCCAAATGCAATGATATTTTATGTATTTAAGGTTAAATTATCTGAGCTTACAGTAAGTTTTTGTTTATATTTTACATCAAACATATATACAAACTAATCGTTACATAAAATAAATGTGTGAAATACTAGAATACTAAACTAATGCTGGAGATAACTTGGTATATCGATAATGAGAGTGTTTTATATGTCTTATTCGAGTAATATACATCTCGTGTTAATATTACTAAACTGTAACAACGAGCAAGTTGTTCGCCAAAACTTTAAAAAGATTGCATCTTATAAGCCTAAACAGACATCAGATAAGTGACTATAACGACCATAATTAACAGGGATTTAATTAACTAGTATGACAAGGGTACATTACATAATACACAATTAAATTAATTCGTTTTATTTAATGGCATGTTCTGCCCTTATCCCATATCCGTATGAATCTCTGTACAGTTTTTTAAGGTGGCAAAGGTATATGTGATTTTCAGAAAAATAGATTATTCACTTACTCGGTAAATACATCCTGGGCATTTACAAACCGCTTCCAGCTACGAGTTGGAAAGAATTTCCACAAAGATAAAGGCATAAATTCAAGATCATTCATTCCCTGAAAAATGTCATTTACTGCTACAATCAACCTCTGGCTTTGAGAGTTCGGAGCTTGTTCTAAATCTACACAGCCTAGTCTGGCGTCAAGAGCAACAAGAGCCACAGCTGTAATAAAAACAACCACAAATCAAAGCTTCGTACAAGCAATTATAATTTTTGTTTTAAAAATTAACAACAAAGCTACATAATCTCATTTGTTGTTTTAAAACTTATATATTTCTCAAACGAATGAACTAAACAATAACTTACATTCCAATGCCCACTTGTAAAGTTCATTTAGAAAATCTGGAACTTCTCCTGTGTTATCCATCAAATGAATCATTCTTGTTATCATGTCATTAGCTACTTGATCCATTTGGTTAAGATAAGACTGTATAGATTTTGGACGAAGCAGTTGCGTTTGGACTTTGGTTCTGAGATCATACCATTCTTTGCCTTGGCTGTCAAAGAGGTCAAAAACTTTCACAATTGATATAATGATTATGTAATGTTAACTTTGAATACTTAAGTTGAAAACTTTTACAATGTCTTAAGTTAAAAGTATTTCCATAACGCTTGAATTTCCAAGTAATTTGCGATTTATTTCGATCATTTTTGGAATACCTAGAGAAACATATGCATATATACATATAACTAAGAGAGTACTAGTTGTTAACTTTATGTATTTCTTTTATTGTAAATATAGACTTGTCTCAGTTTAGTGCAACCTCGTTGGACTTGGTTATGCTTTTTGATGTACTGGTTTTTCAGCAGCAATTAATAATAGTGCTATTCCTCAGTTAATTTATTCCGTTTAATTTTATGCTGCTCTAGTAATCTATATAATAATAATGTAAATTATGTTCATACAGAGATATACTTGCGCGATACATATAAATGCATTCTTATAGATTTCAAAATTAAAAGGGTTATGAAAACTTACATTGCAAGAAGTCCACCACTACGAAAGTATTTTTCTCTCATTTTCCGATAAGCAGCAAGACTTTCTATCTCTACTCGCACGGGATATTTACCCTCATGGCGGAACATTATTTCAATGTCTTTTGGGTCGAACAGCAGCACTGTTGTAAAGCGTCCTCCCACATTTTCTCTAACGATTTTCCCATATTCCTGGAACTTCATGAAGTTGGATACGTGAAATCGCGTAATGTCATATTTTCCTAATATCAACAACACAATAACGTATTTTATTTCATACAACATAATTTGACATCACACAAGTCTGTTACATTCTAAAATGCATTTCAAACAAAAATATATCTAAAAGCATAATAATGAGACGTTTAAAAATATTTGCTTGGTAGAGTTCTAATTAAGTTCCAGTCCACCACACACACATAAAAAGAGAAGAACAAGGAACAAAAACATTTTATTGGGCAAATAAAGCAATATTGAATAAACATTAATGGGCCGAGTGCGCCCTGGTAGTTTGTGTTCCAGACTTGGATCTAAGGTTCTGTGGCTTACACCCTGTTACCGCACAAAAAAGGTGAAGAAAAGAGGCAATCCACACTTTTGTAGCCGTGGGTGCTTTGTAAGCTTTATAATTGGCGATGGGTGGTGTTGAGTAGCTGTCTTCCCTATAGTATATTATTTGAAAATTAGGAATGGCTAGCGCAGATAGCCTTCAAGAAGCTTTGCACAAAATTCATCAAAACAAACAATAAACGTAACACCTCAAAGGATAAGATATTGAATCAACACACTGAAACCTTCTTTATTTAGGTCCGCTATCTGCTAACACAGGGGAAAGAAGCAGGTTCAGCAAAGAACCAAGACCACTTGTTTTGATTAACTTTTTCGTTATATTACCAAATCCCAAACTCTTCTTTAGATCCCAGAATATTAAGTCCCCAACATCATCAAGCAAGTTCCATTAAGAGAAATGAAAGCCAGTTATCGATTTTACCATCTTAATGTACAACCAATAAATTAAATACCGTGTTGAGACACGCTCAACAAAGCATCGAACAAACAGGCCAGATGCGAAAATAACTTCTGGGTTTTAACCTACAAACATGGTAGATAATTTCTATAGACAGGATTACTGAGTTCGAAGTTGAATACATCCTACTGATTTCGAATTTGTAACTAAGCGCAAAAGCCTTGCTCAAATTTTGACGCCTCTTTGTATAGGGTGTGTTGTAGAACAATTTAGCATATGATATACGTATATATAACAGTTCCCCAACTCTAAATTATTTTTGATATAAGCTAGTGTAAATGGATATGTACCAAAGACCACTTTGAAACCGTATTTGATTTAAAATTGTACATCTTTTTAATGATTCTTCAAATTTAAGTAAAAAAAAAAGTATTCGCTTTTTGGTGTAAAATCCATAACTATAGTTTATATATATATATATATATATATATCACAATAAGCCATGTCAAAAGTTTCTTTTAAATTATCTTTATATATAATATATTCAATAAACAATACTCATCAAAACCTTAATGTTCTTCATACATTTTTACTCCTTGTTTATAATTTTAATGTATATCGCTAAAAATTCTAGTCGACTTGTTTTAACATTTAAAGCAATATGATTTTCATTTGTACTGTTGTAAACGTAAATATCTTTACTATTATCAGTAAATAACGAATGAAATATCAAGAGATACCATAAACAGCAAAATCCCGATTCGAGTATCAGAGAACAAACTGGTAGTAGCTTTGCTGCCTATCCTCTAAATTTCTACAGAATGTAGTATAGTATACCGTAAGACAATACAAACTAGTTTGCTATATTAAATCGCCTTATACATGAGAACTGCTAAGGTGTGTTCGGATAAACCAATGAAGTGAAAATGGGGTGTGTAGAACTTGAGAGCGATATCTCAGAATGACTGTTATATTTCAATATTTGATTAGAGTAGCCGAAGAGTTAGTGATAGGTAATGTTGACTAATTTCATTCCCCTAGTCTATCAGTTCAAAATTAGGTTTTACTAGTATAGGTTACTCTGTGTAGCTTTTCGTGACTGTCTGAAACAAACAAACGATTAGTAAATTTTGATTTTTTCCAAATATTAGCTTTTATCAGCAACGCAGAGCTAAACGAAAAGAAACAAAATATTAATTAAATATATGTTCTAATCAGCGTTTCATCCTTCTATTTGCCCTAAAGTGCGGAGCGCGATTTTGCGGTAAAGGGAGGCAAACCTGGACTCTCAGATTCAAAGTCCCTAATCCTAACTATAGGCCACGTCTAGCCCAAAAATATTCCAAATGATATAACCTAAATCATAAGAAAACATTTTATTTTGTATGTATTAGGTAAAAGTTAATAAAGCCGACTCTTACCTATTAAGGGCAAATACACCCACGTACTTCCAATAATGGGATAAGATTTCACGCAAGGCATTTCACTGAAAGGTTTGACATTTTGATGGTCTTCATTAAAGATGGTTTGTTCTGCCACAGAAACTGCTGTAGAAGCTTTCTGCCTGTGAATAATCTGTAATTTTGCCAGTGAACACAAAACCTTGGTGTTTTGGAGTAATGGTCGAACAAAGGCACTTTTAGACAGAGACACCATTGTTTCTGACTGCAAATGAAAATGATGAAATCTGGAATATTTCAAAGGCTGCTAGTAAAATCTGAAACCGAAGAAAACATTTATCCCGTTAGAATGTGCTGTATTTTTCACACATGGAATAAACTTAGTAAATGTTAAAACTGTTAACTGACCATTGATTCAACTTCTTGTCCATAGTTTATACTTGAATAAGTTTTACACGTTTCCCAATCAATTCAACATAGAAGTCAACTATGAAAAAGCTATGATAAATTTGACTTACATTTCAATCTAATGTTCTCTGAACCTTAACAATTACGTTGGTTTATTTCGCCATTAGATATCAGGTATGGGAATAAATAAATATTTGGACACGATAAACTATCAATTTAAATTTTTTTATGGACTTTAAAAAGGGTAATTGTGTTGCACTCTTGAGTTCACTCAGAGACAAAGCTCTGAGCTACTTATACCGCCCACCAACATTTCAGTCATGCTAAGAGCGGCTCAACAATAACATAAGGTAAATCTACATTTTTATTCTTTAAGTTATGTCACCTTTTGAAATGTGAATGACAGTTTGATTAATTTCTAGCAATTTAGTGTGGAATACCCTGCTTGCGAAATAAAATTTGACATCGACATTATTCATGTTTGTTCTCCTGTCATTTCAAAAAGTGAATGTTGAGCTTTGCCTGTGTGTGCAGCTTTTCAAACGTAGCGCTCAGACAGACATAACGATTTGCAGTATATGTATATAAGATAAGTATTTTTTACAAGTTATAGGCTTATACAGTCAGGAAGAATATTTTTAAACAGGTACGACGTTTCAGTCGCTATGCGATCATTCTCAAGTACACAGTTCATATCAGTACAAAAAGTATATGAAAATCTTAAGCTATTTACGTTACCTTTTAACACTTTTTTTCTGGAAACTTATTTAATATGTATACTGTTGGTTCTTCAATAATGTAGAAAGACAAATTTGTGCGAACCTTTCAAGAAATTTGAGTTTGCTGATGATGTCTTAAGTATTAACAAATATAACGTTCACTATTTATCGTTTTCATAAGAATCAAAGAAAATTCTATCGGCAATTAATATAAGAATGAATGTGAAGCATAATTATTTTAAACCAGGCTAGATGAAATGTTCTAAAAGTGCTGTAACATCAGATATGTTATATATTTTACAAATAATGTCATTGATCATCTGATTCGGAAGTCTCGTGTCTCCTTAGTTAAATCTCACGGTCAAATTATGAACGGTTTTGTTATGCCATACATGTTCTTGCTCATATACTACACGCAGCACGATTAAAAAAATAGCAAATCACATGCCTGTAGTTTAAATTTTACTTAATAACGAAAGTTATGCTCGATGCAGGATATAAGTCTTAGATTAGTGATTTGAAATATTGTTTTTACACGCCTCTGATTTTAAATCCAAAAATGGACAAATTAAGAAGAATGTATAAAAAGAAAAGCTACATTTTCTGTTATTTTTATCACATAGTGTAGGCCTATTGGCTATTAATTTTCTATATAACTTGTCTGCTCCACACTATAGCAGCGTGGCAAATAAATGAACGTTTGAAATTTAGTATAAAATTGGATTTTATGGATCGAAATAGTAAAAAGTACTAGCACATGCTTTCAACATTGAAGCTCATATGAAGAAAAGGCTCAAATGTGTAAATGCGAATGTCATTACTATTGAACGCACAAGCATCCCTATGTTTCCAGAATATAAATAAAACAATTTTGATTTTTTTTTGTCATTTACTTATTGCATTCCCACAGAGAATACATAGTTGTTCTATTTTTCTTTAAAAAATAAATGTCTTTTTTGAAAGAAACTTTGTTTTTAATGTAGTTTTATCAATTTTTAATATATATTTTTCACATTTAATTGTAAAAGTTAACAAACTGGACTTTACTACTAGAAAAACATATAAATACTTTAACTGTATTTGATTTTTTTTTAATAAACTGTAGTAGCTTCAGGACTTATTTTAGAATTACTATTTGATTTTCTAGGATTTTCCCAGGATTTGTATGTACAACGCCAGGGTTTAGAATATCTTTATTGAAAACACTTTCTAATGATGAAAGGAAGGAACCAGTTAAGAACTTATTATCACAAAAATTAGTTTATGAAAAAGAATAATAAAATTATTTAGCATACTGTAAGCAAACTGGAACTTAACATGAGTGTCCTCTTACATCTACCTTTTAATATTTAAGTTAATTTATGGGGTTTTACTCTTTAGTTTATAATTTTCATATTTACACCTTTACAGGCTTGAAATATGTTGAATAATCTATAATGCAAGATACCTGTCAGGTTTTTATATATATGGATGTATGAGCTGGATTGTTGGCGAAAAAATCTCGACAACAGAAAATAGCACACAGTCCACTTTTTTAAAAGTGATATATTAAAACAAGTGAAACGTATATACAAATGTTCGATACACTGTTGGTTATTAGAGTTGTATCCAGATTAAATAATTGTTTCCTTGCAACGAAGTTCACAAAGGTTGGTTCAGTTACTTTAGGATACAATTGACAAGACAACTTATTTCTTTTCTACTCTATTATTGCAATACAATCTATGATAATTTAATTTTAAAAATCGTCACTATACAGTCTTTATAGCTAAAACTCACAATCCCAAAATCTAGGTCTACCTTTCTATCTATATGATTAACTAACTAGCTCGAACTACATTTTGGACGAGGTATTATAATATTGTAATACTCAATAACAACAACAAGAAAACTTAGAGGGTTCTAGTAAGATGACCCTATAATACAACAAGTACCAATCCACAACAACTGAACTACAAAACGTATGATTCGCCCAGTTACGTAAACAAACCTGCGATAAACTATCGCTTGTTAAAAAAAATAACTAAATTTAATACTTAAACTATCTAACTCATAACACTCGCATTAAACGTAAACAGTCGGATGTATATAACAATATCGGTGCATGGCCAGATGGTTAGAGCACTCGACTCGCAATCTGAGGGTCGCGGGTTCTAAATTAAAAAAATAAAAAATACTGGTTTAAAATGATATGACATATCATGCTATTAATACTTAATCAAGTAAATATGATGCTCACAATAATTATTGTAAACAAATCTACTGATTCTCAGCAAGTACAAAACAATTCTAAGAGTTTAGCTACTAAACACACAAATAAAGTGTTCTCTAGCTTCAAAATGTTAATTAAATAGTCTACATAATACAATAACGTAAATGTAATACACACATAAAATTTTTTGTATCATTTTTTCACGCTATATCATCTCCTTCAACATATGTATTGAATCATACCATGAACTGCAGTTTCTTTCCTTATTTAATTCATGTATAAAAAGAAAAGCTACATTTTCTGTTATTTTTATCACACAGTGTAGGCCTATTGGCTATTAATTTTCTATATAACTTCTCTGCTCCACACTATAGCAACGTGGCAAATAAATAAACGTTTGAAATTTAGTATAAAATTGGATTTTATGGATCGAAATAGTAAAAAGTACTAGCACATGCTCTCGTCAAAGTTGCTATTTCGTGAGGAATAAACTGCTCACGAAATCGTGTTCGCAAAATAATGTCACTATTATACTTGCTTTAGAAGATTGCAACAATGGTTGAATCGTCTAACAACTATTTTCCAATGTATTTGAAATTAAAAATAAGTAAATTTTCCCTCTATTTATATCAAAATAGTTTCCTTTCACATAATGCTAGGGGTAAATAAAAAATCAAAGCAATTGTAAGACTAATGTATTTGACCTGTGGCACAGCGGCATGTTTGCGGACTTGCACCGCTAGAATCCGGGTTTCGATACATGTGGTGGGCCAAGAATAGATAACCCTTTGTGTTACTTTGTGCTTAACTTCAAATAAACATAGCGTTAATGTGGCATATTATATATGATTAACTATAAATCGCAATATTTTGTATTTAAATGTATAGAAACAACTACTTACATAATTTGTCTTTGATTTGTTTGTCGTTTCACTGACACCGTGTAAATAAATATCACAGCTTTAACTCTCTCCTAAATCTGATTCTTCTGGTCTTCGCGACTGCTCAATACAAAAGTGCACAACAGGAAAGTATCCCTGAGTGATTAAATCTTGTGGGAAATATACATTATAGTGTAATTCTATACAGTGCTATCAGATACTGACTTCTGAACCTCGTGCAGATGATCAATCTGGTTTTATCAACTATATTCGTACGCCAATACAATACAGTGTGAATGACGTGTATAATAAATAATATATATATGCTTTCGCTGATAAAATAGTTATAAATACGTAACTCAATAAACCGGATACTGGGTGTATAGAAATGCAAATAAATTATATTAACGTTACAGCAATTAGGCCTAACTCTTGATAACATTCAATGAGTTGTTTTAATCTGTCGCAATCTTTTTCATTCTTGCCAGTGTTTGTTTGGTTCTTCACATGAAGGTTTCTGTGTCTATTCTCAGAGCTAGGAATAGACTGCTCACGAAATCGTGTTTGCAAAATAATAAAGTCAAGAGTATGCCCTCTTAGGAGAATATATTTGAAAGTGTCGATGTTATGATGTTATAAGTCTATAAGGATTACATAATGTTATATAACGCTTTGGATTGTCTTGCTATGTTCCAAGAGTAAAGGGGGAGAAGTGCCTGAAACCTTATAAGTGTAGTAGGTGTTGGTATAATAAGCCTAAAGTAAAGACTTAGTGTATGATCACATATCCTAGAGCCAAGTGCATAAAATTTATCATCAAAGTAAAAATACTGATTCAATTTTAAACTCACACCTTTTCTGAATTAAGCTATTTTCTGTTACATCACCAATGCTATTAATATACAAAACCTCTTTAATCAACGGAGACTCTAAATTAAGAAATCAATAAATATTTTTCCAGTGTTGTCGTCTATACATTGCATTTTATACTATCAGTACACAGACTAACAACAATATTAGGTTGCACTTTTGTTGTCATTATTGAAACGTAGCGTTATCAAAACGCACTGGCTTTTCTATACATTAGAAGTTGTTAACCTAACTGATTTATACCAATAATTATTCTATGAATATGCCACAATTTATTTTATGAATGATCTTAATTTTAATTGGCTCACAAAGGAACTTACTGACGTTTGACTGCCTCGACTGCACTTTCCTGCCTCTTTGTTGGTCAAGCTTGATTTCGCAAAATTTATTTATTTCAGTTAGCTATGAAATGTAAGGTTAGAGTATACTGTTACGTCTCTGGTCGCTAGTTAATTTTCCGTATAATTTCTTTTCAAAGAAAATTTAGCGATACAAGTCCTTTCTTAAATGAAACTGGTTTATTCTTTCTAAATACAACTTTGCAATACACTTAATTTCCACAGTCACGCTATAACAAACGCTATAATTCACAACGAACGTCTCACGTACTCGACTCAACAATACTCTCTCTCTGTCCGCAGTTCAATTACTCATTACATTGTTGCCGTCACGTCTTGACCGTCTTATATATAAAAGAATACCGAAATCTAGTAAACGCTAGAGCATTCAGGAACCTTCGAGAATATGACGTGTTACCAGAGTCACGTGACCCCCGCTGTCGTAACAATACTATAGGGTGGGGGTGGTAGTACTTGCCCCATCATTTTGTTTTTATTTGCTTTTCGTTGCTCAGCATATGCCTCATACTTTCAAGGACAAATCTGTACAGTTTAATTGTGAGACTGAAAACAAACTTTGAAATGGAATAAAAAATCACTAAGAGAACTTTCTTCTACTTATCTTTCTATTATATAAACAATATAGTGCAGAAAATATCATACTACTGATCTTTTACTCAAATACTATCAAAACCAGCATTTAAGTCCAATTGCTTAACAATTAATAACCATTCAAATAGCAGTGTTATTTTTCATTTTAATATATATTTTTTAAAGTAAAACTCCAACTAATACAATTTAGGCCTATAATAAAGCTAACTTTCAGTAGTAAACAACATATGATTGTAGAGGTTGTATTTAGTATTAATATAACGTTGTTTCTACCAAATTTGAAGTATTACACATAGGACAATAACACAATTTTTATAAAACACTATTATTTTATAATATGTTGTTAAATTATAAAACATTCAGTGGTATAATGATTGCTGGACTGATGGCATAAAAATTTACAGAACTTTAACTCTGGTCTTAGGCCCACATTAGATGACAATTCGTCTGTTCGATAAGATTACATATATAAAAGCGACAGAAGTACACGAGATTTGACTTTAGGCTTCCAAGTAACAATATAGGCAACTCACCACAGTGAGCATTTTTGTTTGTTTGCTGTTAAGCATAAAGTTACACAATAGGCTATCTGTGCTAAGCCTACCACAGGTATCGAAACCCGATTTTTAGCGTTATAAGCTCTCCGTCTTACTGCTGAGTCATTGGGGATGAGCATTTTTATCATCAAGTTTCTACAACACAAACAAATTAATAATTTTTATTCAAAGAAGTCTTGTTCTCATATTAGATTTAAAATAATAAACTTAGTCGTTATAAATACGGAAATTCGTAGGAGAAACTGTTTTTTGTTTAGGGTCTGGCATGACCAGGTGGTTAGGGCGCTCGACTCGCAATCTGAGGGTCGCGGGTTCGAATCCCTGTCGCACCAAACATACTCGTCCTTTCAGCCATGGGGGCGTTATAATGTGAAAGTCAATCTCACTATTCGTTGGTAAAAGAGTAGCCTAAAAGTTGGCGGTGAATGGTGATGACTAGCTGCCTTCCATCTAGTCTTACACTGCTAAATCAGGGATGGCTAACGCAGATAGTCTTCGTGTAGCTTTGCACGAAATTCAAAAACAAACAAATAAGCAAATCTTTTGTTTATTTATTTTATTTTTAAACCAACCACATCTTTTAATTTTTTAGTAAAAATATTATTATAATTTTGATATCTTGTATTCAAATGTTGTTCTTTTTAATTTTTTATTTCCGCCGTAGTAAAACCTATTCACCGCGTTGAAAAGTCTCGTGTCTTTTCTTTTAAAATCACCTTTTTTACTTATGGTAAAACTATCTGTCGCCGTCACGATTTTTGAACTGCAGACCAGAGGGTAAGCAAACGGTTGGCAACACCCACCGCTAACATTTGGGTTACTCTTTACAAACGAATAGTAAAATTCCCCGTTATAAAGTAATGCTCCCATGCCTGAAAGGTCAAATATGTTCAGAGCTTGGTTTCTATCTCGCCCTAGTGCTAAGACTTAATTTAAATGATCTATAGAGAGCATTAAACAATCCCAGTAAAATAAAAATAAAAATCCGGCTAAAAAAGGAAGAGACGTCTAAATATGACTATTAACAATTGTGATATAAGAATCATTTTTTGTGGAATTAGGAAAAAAAAAGTAATTTTGTTTCCTGGCAATGCATAAGGATGATGGCAAATAAAGAAAGCTGCAAGGCCAATTGTTAACAAAAAAGGAACTTCCAATTCGAAAAATTTTTTAAACAATTCAAATCGTAATCAATTTCTCGGATTATCTAAGTTTAAACCTCTCACAACCTCAGTTGGTCCATAATAGTAACTTTTTTCATCAAAGTTGGGTCTTAACACATAAAATAATAGAATGAACTCTATTGATGTCTGATTAAAAACAGTTGAGGTGTTTCTTAAATACAATGCAACAAAAGAAAGCAATTTTAAGAAATCTTGATCATTCCTAGCAATAAAAAATTAGAATTGTTCTTAATACTTTATCGTTTTTGTTTTTAGGAAACGGTAGACTGATTCTTTTAATAATTGGCTCAGGTTACTTCGTAAAGTTAATGAACTTTTAACTCATTACCTGTAAGAATTAGAATCAGTAAATACAATTCTGCTTTATTTTCCTAATAGTCCCTATGACTACTTTGGTATTTTTACTTTTCTTAGAAATATTTAGTAGCTGAGCTCTCAGAGCAAGTTATTTCTCGTATGTTATACTATGATACTTTTCATAAATCATTTCTAAGCTAAATATAGAATTTTACATTATTCTTCAGTTTACAAATTTGGGCTTCGTATTTTCACCATCTGAAGGTTATGCCTTGTATGTTTGATCTGAATAATCACTTACATTGTGTTCTTTGTTACTGATAATGCTAGCACTATCTAAATAATCAGCATTAGTTTTAAGCTTAACATCATATGTAATGATATGAAAATATTGTTGCTAATGAGTATTAATATCATTGTATTTCCATCTCAAGTCATGCTGAACATTGTATATTTCCAATCAATTAATCTAATCTTAACTATAATGCTGGAATGCAGGAATACTACGTATTTTCTTTCCCCTTGTTTAATATAAAATATTTCAAAATGTTTTTACATATAGTTCATGTCGTTTTTAACACCAAAGTTTGGTCATGGAAGCATCTAAGCTCATCTCACCCGTTTTATTCTGGACCACTCACCTAATGTAGCTTGTGCACTTTCTTGTCGGAAAGACTTCTGCAAAATAAACATACTATATAGAAATGGACAGTAATATGTTCTTCTGGCGGGTCAGGTAATCTCTTAAGGTTACAACCTCCCTTTTCTTCGATATGAATAACCAATAGTCAGTTTGGTAATACCCACACCTGAAAAGGAAAGCGTTGTTGTTTCGCGCATATAATATGTTTTCTAAGTCGGGTACAGATTTTTGACAAATCTTTGAAATATTCTTAAGAAAAGTACACTTCTACTGGGAATGGTCCCCACTAAAGACACCATAAAATATGCTTGACTTGTTTTAGATTGCGTTTGTATGTAGTGAATAAAGATTGCTTCACTGTGTTTTGCGTTGATCAAGTCTATTTGTTTGATTTAAAGTCAGTCCAGATCAGATAACTCAGATTTACTCAGCGATACATTTCTGTACGGTCTCTTGTTATTCTGTATAATATACCCAATGGCTCTTAGGTTAAACCAGTGAACGTGAAAATACCACAGTGTAGATAGGAGGAGGAAATTATTGTTGCTGTGATGATCGGATTTGCTTCTGCAGGAATTATTTCTTTTTCCCTCTGATGAGGTTATTTTCGTTTTCTCTTCTATACTCTTGTGTTATTCATATATAACTTTGTATCTATGTAAATGACATTTTCTGCAAGCCAAATGATTTATAACC